TTCCAGACCACTCTTAATACTTCCTAGCCGCCAAATGTGTGGGGTTTGTTCTCATACCAAGCGATTCTCTGTGGACACCACTGGGTGTCCTACAACTCAACTCAATTCTCACACTGTTGGGAGTTAGCACACAGCCCACAGGGTGTGCACACGCCCCTCAGTCCCACAAGACTGCCCCACTTCAGATGCCAGTGCTTCAGAAGTTGTCACCTGTGCTTCTGACCGACCAGATTTAAATCAGGAGTTCTCACCAGCCCCTTCTCAGGTTTGAAGATTTGCTAGAACAGCCTACAGAACTCAGGAAAACAGATGACCAGTTTATGATAAAAGGATACAACTCAGAAGCAGCCAGATGGAAAAGGTGCCTGGGATAAGATGTGGGGAGGGGCGCAGAGCCCCCATGTCCCCCTCCCAGCACTTCCATGAGTTCAGCCTGGAGGCTCCTCAGGCCCCATCCTTTGGGGTTTGGGTTTTTATGAAGGCTTCATTCTTAGGCATGATTCATTAAGTCATCAGTCATTGGTGATGAAATCAACCTCCAGTCCCTCTCCCCTCTGTGGAAGTGGGTAGTGGGCATGAGGCTGAAAGTCCCAAGTCTCTAATCACTGGTTGGCTCCCCTGGCAACCAGCTCCCGTCCTGAGGCTATCCAGGAGCTGCCAGTACCAGTCATCTCATTAGCATACAAAAAGTCACTCATCATTTTGGAGGTTCCAAGGGTTTCAGGAACTTTGTGCCAAGAGAAAGCAGAGATCAAATATATATTTCTCATTATGCCACACCTGGGTTCAGAATCCTGGCTCTGCCAATTTCCAGGTATGTGACCTCAGATAAACTACCTGGTCTCTGAGCCTTGGTTTCTCATTGTAAGATTTCATTGACCACATACATAACGTGTTCTGTGGACTGCGCATAGCAGTTGGCATAAAGAAGGCTGATGACAAAAGTGAGCCCCACTTTTCCTCCTCCTCCTCCAGCTTGCAGCAGTCTCGCACATCCCACAGCCACCCTAACAGAGAGCAAGGCTTGTTGGTGCTGCCGGGACTCATGCTTGGTGTCAGAAAAGGCAGAGATGATGAGTGTGGGCTCTGGAGCCTGCAGTCCTCCACTGTGGAGTGGGGTGACCGTGACCAAGGTACCTGGTTTCTCTACACCTTAGCTTCCTTGTCTGTAAAACAGGACGTCTGCAAGTGTCTGCCTCATAGAGTTAATGAGCTAATGCACATAAACACTTTGAAAGATGGCTGGCACACAAATGCCCAGTAAACTTCAGCTAATAGTATGATCACCACCACCACAGTCACCCCAGGTCTGACCTAGTGGGGCATGCAAAGTGCCCCTCATGTTCTTTCTGCAGGTTTCCCTGTTGGGAGGCACCCTGGAGCTCAGTCTTTTCTTTTTCATCCTCTCTAGGGACAAGACATTGGTCTCTGGGATGAATGGGAGGGGCCTCTACTATTGACACAGCCGCAGCAAACAATGCATGAGCTTTGGTGGAGCAAAGAAGGGTGTGGGCCTGTTGGGAGAGGCAGGTGCCAGCAAGAGATGCTGAGTACCCTGCCCCTCTTTCCTTACCTCTGTGCTGGACAAAGCCTTCTGGAGACGGACTTTCTACTTTCAAAGAACTCGTGGTCTAGAGTGAGCTTTATCTGGAAAAGGACATGCGTCCTTTGGGATTTGGGGGTGGGGTGAAAAATCTCTAGGAAGGCTCAAGTGGTCTGAAACCATATGTTCCATAGAGTTCTTGTTTTATAAAAATATATATTTCCAGAGGTTTTTATTTGAGAGCTCTTCTCTTTTGTTTTTCTTTTCTTTGCTTTCTTTTTTCTTTTTTTTAATTTTGAGATGGAATCTTGCTCTGTCACCCAGGCTGGAGTGCAGTGGCATGATCTCAACTCACTGCAAGCTCCACTTCTCAGGTTCAGGTGATTCTTCTGCCTCAACCTCCTGAGTAGCTGTGATTACAGGCATGCGCTACCATGCCAGGCTAATTTTTTAATTTTTAGTAGAGATGGGGTTTTGCCATGTTGGCCAGGCTGGCCTCGAACTCCTGACCTCAAATGACCCACCCACCTCGGCCTCCCAAAGTGTTGGGATTATAGGTGTAAGCCACTGCACCCGGCCAGCCATTCTTTTTTCTAAAGCGAGTAAAGCTCTACCAAATTGCAACTGGCTGGGATGCACAGAAAGTAGTGAGCAAGATTGGCAGGAGGAGAGGGGAGAAAGTTGGGGGCCGTTTCCCTAGAGAGATCTGGCATCTATCAGCTGTACACAGCCATCTAGGGCTCAGTGTTTGCCAGTGTCTGAGTTCTGGGCTGTCTCTGTTGGCTACTCAGGTACAGGAATGCTCATTTTCCCCCTGCTCCCTCTGTCCTTTCTGTCCTCCCTTATTTCTTCCCTTCATTCAACAGATCCTTGTTGATTACACGAATGTCTCAGTTTCCCTGAATTTGTGCAAAAATCTATTAATTTATTCTTTCAATGAATATTTGTTAAATGAATGAGTGAGTGGATGTTTGAATGAATGAATTTAGCACCCTGAACTGGGAGTAAGCTCATCTCTTGAGTCCCCTCTCTCCAACAGCAGGTTGGCTCACCATCCCAGGGAGCCTGCATTTTACTGGAGAGGGTACCTATGGTGACCCTCTGCCCCATCTCCAGTGCTCTTGAGTGGAAGCCCCTCCCCAGTCCTGCCCTGGCCCCTACTCGCTCCTGTCTCACCTTTCTCTCTTCTCCACGAAGGGCCCCTGCTCTAGACAAATAGCATCACTCCTTCTCTTGTGCCTTTGAGCCTCTCCTTCCCACCGTCTAGAATGCAGGCTGCTCTATGGGCCCCTGACAAAATTCTCTCTCCTTTCAAGGCCCAGCATTTTCAGTGTAGCTTTTCCTGATCCCTACAACTGAAAGTGATTTTTTTTTCCTGGCTGCATCTCTCATACACCTTTCCTGGATTTACCCCATTCCATCATTCATGATCACTTATGCTTGTCTTATCCACTGCTGAAGCTCTTGGAGAGTTACAACTACACTTCATACACGTTTACACTCCCAACATTGTGCCTCACACAATGTCCTATGAATAATAGTTGCTCTAATATTTTTATTGAATGAATACTTCATATTCACTTTTCCTTGTAGACTAAATTTTGAGCTGTTGTCATGACGATTATCTCATGACATTAGTCTTTTCTTTGTTCATTTATTCCTTCATCTATTTATTTAATTATCCTAATACAGTCAAGCAGTGCGCTAGGCATCAGAATAGAAAGATCAAGAGGGCGCCGGGTGCAGTGGCTCATGCCTGTAATCCCAGCACTCTGGGATGCCAAGGCGTGCAGATCACTTGAGCCCAGGAGTTTGAGGCCAACTTGGGCAATATGACAAAACTCTGTCTCTACAGAAAATACAGAAGTTAGCTGGGAGTGGTGGCTCATGCCTGTAGTCCCAGCCAATGGGGAGGCTGAGGTGGGAGAATCCCTTGAGTCCAGGAGCCAGAGGTTGCAGTGAGCCAAGATCACACCACTGCACTCCAGCCTGAGGCAACAGAGCCAGATCCTGCCTCAAAAATAAAATAGAATAAAAGATTAAAAAGGGATGTTCTGATGCAGACAGATGGACACATATAAAAAAGAGCTGTGTCTGGCACTGGAATGCGCCCTCACACTCTCATTAGAGCTGTGGCCTCTTTGTAAAGACAGAGACCAGTTTGGTTTGCAGAAGAATGGGTGACGTAACCTCTTAAACATAACTCATAGGAAGATTTCCCAAAAAGTTTCTTTCAGCGAACACTTGGTACATCGTGGCATCTCTCATAAACCCTTCTCAGTTTAGCTCCGTCATCTTCACAATCATGTGAGAAGAAATCAGGAGGGTGGATTTTGAGATGTTTGTCCTCGAGTCTTATCCAGGTCATTCATGGCCTTTGACCTGCTCCTATAAACAGCTCTTGCCAGTGAGCATTTGCAAGTCCTCTCTGGGCCAAGGATTCCCCAATCACTAGTCCTAGAAACACTGCTCAGAGTCTCCGCCAGCCTCCCTAGCATCAGAGGCCCAGGTCAACACCAAGGCGTTACAAATACAGGGAAGGTAAAGGATGCAAAAGTAAACATTTGCTGGATGCTGGAGAGGCGAAACATGCTTGGCGTCTGGGTACACACAAGGGTACAACAAAGAAGCCAAACCAGGATGATGGGTGTGAGAGAAGTATCCTCCCTTCCGTTCTTTTTTTTTTTTTTTTTTGAGACAGAGTTTTGCTTTTGTCGCCCAGGCTGGAGTGCAATGGTTGTGACCTCGGCTCACTGTAACCTCCGCCTCCCAGATTCAAGTGATTCTCCTGCTTCAGCCTCTTGAGTAGCTGGGATTACAGGTGTGCATCACCACGCCCAGCTAATTCTTTGTATTTTTAGTAGAGACGGGGTTTCACCATGTTGGCCAGGCTGGTCTCAAGCTCCTGACCTCAGGTGATCCGCCCACCTCAGCCACACAAAGTACTGGGATTACAGGCATGAGCCACCATGCCCGGCTCCTCACTTCAGTTCTGTTGGAGCCCCCATCCACAAAGCAACGAGAAATGCTGAAAGCAGACAGAATGTAGGCGCTCTGGTGACATAGTTCTCCTCATTGATTGGATGGAGTTCCACTGAACATTTGGCCTGTTCCCTAAGGGCCGAGTGACAGCTCAGCAGATGGAGGGGAAAAGACACTCTTAGCTGTGGGAACAGGATGCACAGAGGTTCAGCTGTCTGAAAGGGCGGAGCATTTTCTGTGATCTTGCATCCTGGGAGCTGGCATAACTGAGACTAGAAAGACTGAATGGGAATAGGTTGTGATGTTCTTGCTATGCAAGATCAAGGTCTTTGGATTTTAACGTGATTCTTTCCAGGAATTTGGCTCTGCCCTCGACGAGCCTCACCCCAAAGCTGCTCTTTGGTAACTTACACCATTCCCCCACACCACCATTCCTTGCCTCCTAGGACTTCAGGTTCTCTTTTCTGCCTCACAGCTCTAGGACTCCAGAGTATCAACTGGCAGACGGCCTTCAACCGACAAGCGCATCACACACACAAGTTCTCTAGCCGGGAGCTCATCTTGCGGAGAGGCCAAAACTTCCAGGTCTTAATGCTCATGAACAAAGGCCTTGGCTCTAACGAAAGACTGGAGTTCATTGTCTCCACAGGTACCTGCGCATTCCCCTCCCTGCCCAAACACACACATACCTGAGTAGCCCTTGTGCATTCAAGGAGTGATGGGGACCATAGTGGGACCACTGGCATTGGGCTCTAGCCTTACTCTGTCAATGATTCAATGTGGCCTTGGGCAAGTTGCTGTCCATCTCTGAGCCTGACTGAGAGTCACCATCCTCAAATCAAGAGGGATCTGGCCTGTATGTTCATTCCAGTTACTTCCAGTGGCAGAATATGGTGCTTCATTGGCTCATGTCCCCCAGACGGGGGTTGTATTGGAACCTGGTCTCTCCACAGTCTGACCAGTGCTTGTTGGTTTTTCTCAACCTCTGTCTTCTTTGACAGGGCCTTACCCCTCCGAGTCGGCCATGACGAAGGCTGTGTTTCCACTCTCCAATGGCAGTAGCGGTGGCTGGAGTGCGGTGCTTCAGGCCATCAATGGCAATACTCTGACTATTAGCATCTCCAGTCCTGCCAGCGCACCCATAGGACAGTACACAATGGCCCTCCAGATCTCCTCCCAGGGCGGCGTCTCCTCTGTGAAACTTGGGACGTTCATACTGCTTTTTAACCCCTGGCTGAACGGTAGGTGTCTAACCACCCACACTCTCAGCCCTGGCCTAAGCTAGAAAAGAGAAAGGGGATGGTGGAAATGATCTTCACAGGCTCAAGTTTGATTAGGGAAAGTCCATGGGCTGTGGAAAGGGTGCAGAAGCTAGAAATGAGGAGCTCTGACACTTCAGCAGCGTCTGAGTCTGGGCAGTCCCTCTCTCTCTCCAAGTCCTCACCATTAAATGGACATCCTGCTGTTTCTTCTGGGAATATTGTCGAGATCACATTGAGCTTTTACAAACTGCATAGCATGATTCATTTTAAGGGACAATACCACAGTATAATTCCACAGCTTGGAGATAGCTTCCTGCCAGAAAGAGCAGGTGTCTCATCCCCAGGGTCTCATTTTCAGACCCTCAAGTCATCCTAGCTTCTCTTTCCAGCTCATAGTTCCCACAATTGGAGTTGGAAGAATTTCAACCCAAGGGTCAGGGGAGGGCTAAAGGTGGGGCTTGCTCTGACCCCCAGGCCAGTTCAGGAGTTGGAGAAGAGGAGGAATGATCCCTACAGTCCTCCTAGGATTCTAGTCCCTGGTGTCTGCTTTTTGTATCAAACAGCGGATAGCGTCTTTATGGGTAACCATGCTGAGAGAGAAGAGTATGTTCAGGAAGATGCCGGCATCATCTATGTGGGAAGCACAAATCGAATTAGCATGATTGGCTGGAACTTTGGACAGGTAAAAGGGTCATAAGGAGGCTGAGGGTAATGTCCCTTTTACCCAAGAAGCTCAGCAGCTTGCCCCACAGATCAATGGGAAGTCCCACATCTGTCCATCTGCCTGCCCTTCTATTTGTTCATGCATTCAGAAGACTTTCATTGGCCACCTATTATGTGTCAGACCCTGGGATCCACACTAAGGATACAGGAGATGAATAAGACAGATCATCTTTGAAGGGGTCGCAATCTAGTGGGCAAGACAGAACATACACATAACTCAATTGATGCAATGAAGTAGTATTGGTGCCAGGATGCACACATAGATATAAGGCCCCCTAGAGACACTGGGGACAGTGATGTAGCTTCTGTTTTTCATTCCATGTAAAAATGTGATGAAACTTCCTTAGTGTGCCCACTCAGCCTTTCCAAGCCACACCCTCTTGGTCCTTTATTATAGTGATGCCCATTTGAGTCTACAGAGTTCTCAGATTTGGTCAGTTTAGAAAACTTCAGGTATGCCCTCCACTTTTTATTTTGTCCACCAGACAAAGGCATTAGAATAAAGCACCTTGGGCGGGGTGCCTTGGATATCAGAAGGATGTGTGCTTGGACCATCTACAGACCCTGTCTGTAGTCAACTGGAGCAAGTTGGCTATCTCCTTTATTGTGAGGAAGGAAAAAAGAGAAGGATAGTGAATAGAGTGCACCTAGGAGTGGAACAGAGGCTTTTTTTTTTTTTTTTTTTTTGATGGCATGGTCAGGGAGGGCCTCACTTAGAAAGGAGCCTTTCATCAGGAACCTGAAGGAGATGAGGGCACCAGACAGAGATCCTGGGAAAGAGCATCAGGCAGAAGGAAAAGCAAATGCAAAGACCTAAGTCAAGAGGAGCTCAGCCTTCTCAGTTTGAGAAGCAATGACTTCAATTAAGTCTTATTTTGTGAAAATCGCTTCAAATACATATACGTAACAAGAGATTTTATTTTTATAACTTAAAATAAAATTCTCCAGGAGTCTCAATAACGCGTTCAAGATTGTAGGCAGGCCAGGTGCGGTGACCCACGCCTATAATCCCAGCACTTTGGGAGATTGAGGCGGGTGGATCACCTGAGGTCAGGAGTTCAAGACCAGCCTGTCCAAAATGGCGAAACCCTGTCTCTACTAAAAATACAAAAATTAGCTGGGTGTGGTGGTGTGGGCCTGCAATCCCAGCTACTTGGGAGACTGAGGCAGGAAAATCACTCGAACCCAGGAGGAACCCAGGAGGTGGAGGTCACAATGAGCCAAGATCGCGCCACTACATTCCAGCCTGGGTGACAGAGCAAGACTCCGTCTCAAAAAAAAAAAAAAAAAAAAAAAGGATGGGAGTCAGAGACAGAAGAAAACTCTGAGATGAGTTTGGCCTGATTATACAGATGGAGAAATCAAGGCCAGACAGGCTAAACGGCTTGCTCCTGAGGTTTGTGGCAGCCAGGGCGTCGGCTAGACCAGGCCACCTCCCATGCATTCACTTTAGGAGAGTTTGCACAAGGTCTTATGCTTTTTTCTTTTTTATAATTTTTTAATTTATTATCCTTTCCTCTCTTTTTTGGTTTTTTGTTTCAAACGCTGTCTTTGAGGAAATACACAGGGTCTTGTGTGTAGTGAGTGCTCTGGATGAGTTTGCGGGGTTGAGGGCTGGGCATGGTGGCTGTCCTCAGTAGCTCTCAGTTCCAGAGGCCACAGAGTCAAAGGATCTGACAGTTCCTGTGGTTCTCACCAGTGTAGTTCCCTTCTTGAGCCAACTCTCCTTGTCATTTATTTCATTGTAATGTATGGTCTCATTCTGAACAGTTTGAAGAAGACATTCTGAGCATCTGCCTCTCAATCTTGGATAGGAGTCTGAATTTCCGCCGTGACCCTGCTACTGATGTGGCCCGCAGAAATGACCCCAAATATGTTGGCCGGGTGCTGAGTGCCATGGTGAGTAACAGGAAAATGATCACAACTAGTTGTCATCATATATTGAACACCACCTGTGGGCTAGGCACGCACACTCTTTATATATGTCATCTCATTAAAGCCTCACCAATTACAGCTGGTGGTTAGAATCATACACATTTTACCAACTTGGAGCACAAGGCCCCTCTAAGTTACAGGGCTTGCCTGAGGCACACAGTGAGTATGCGGCAGAGGCAGAGCCAGGGGTCCAGCCAGCTTCAAAGTCCTTTCCACCACATCATGAAGCCTTTCTCAGAGGAAAAGGGAACTTGCTCTTTGGGTGCCTGCCAAAGATGGGAGAATGCAAATCTAGGGCTCTGCTCCATCATTGGGCCTCCTGGGAAAGGAAGCGAGACCCCTATTGAGCTGGAGGTGGTGACCTCCTTTGCCTAACTCATCTCTTCCGCAGCCCAGAGCACAGCCCAGAGTGTCAGATGGTAGGCTGCCTCATTCATGATCTAGATGGGGAAACAAGCTTGGAGAGCTGAAGTGGCTTGTTCAAACCACACAGCATGCGAGTCAGACCAGAACAAGGCCTTCATGGAAAAGGCCTGTGCCCCTACAACACACACACACACACACACTCACACACTCACAATCTCTCTCTCTCTCTCACACTCACACACACACAAGCTAGATCCCCTAGGAGGCATCTATGGCTCTGCGCTCATTGCATAGAGAATGTCTCCATCCAGTCTGGGCGTGGTGGCTCACGCCTCTAATCCCGGTGCTTTGGGAGATGGAGGTGGGAAGATGGCTTGAGCCCAGGAATTTGCTGCCAGCCTGGGTAACACAGTGAGATCTCATCTCTACAGAAATTAAACAAAACAAAACAAAACAAAAACAAACCTAGCCAGGCATAGGCAGACACAGTGGCTCACACCTGTAATCCCAGCACTTTGACAGGTGGATGACTTGAGCCCAGGAGTTCAAGACTAGCCTGGACAACATGGCAAACCCTGTCTCTACAAAAAAAAAAAAAAAAAAAAATTAGCAGGACATGGTTGCATGTGCCTGTAGTCCCAGCTACTTGGGAGGCTGAGGTGGAAGGATCACTTGAGCCCAGGAGGTAGAGATTGTGGTGAGCCAAGATCATGCCACTGTGTTCCAGTCTGGGTGACAGAGTAAGACCCTATCTCAAACAAACAAAAATTAACCAAGCATGGTGGCACATACCTGTAGTCCAGCTACTCAGGAGGCTGAGGCAGGAGGACTACTTGAACCCAGGAGCTTGAGGTTACAGTCAGCTATGATGGCACCACTGCACTCAGGCCTGGGTTATAGAGTAAGACCCTGTTTCCAAAAATATTCGTCCAAAATATCTAAACCTAGATCAACCTGCTCAAAAGTTGTAAGTTAAAAAGCAAAAAGTCATGATCAGGCGCAGTGGTTCACACCTGTAATCCCAGGACTTTGGGAGGCTGAGGCAGGGAATCACTGGAGCCCAGGAGTTTGAGACCAGCCTGGGCAACATAGTGAGACCTCATCTACACACACACACAAGGAGCCAGGCATTGTGGCACATGCCTGTAGTCCCAGCTACTCGGGAGACTGAGCTGGGAGGATTGCATGAGTCCATTGGTCGCAGGCTGCAGTGAGCTATGATTGCACTACTGTACTCCAGCCTGGGTGACAGAGTAAGAACCTGTCTCCAAAAAAAAAAGGTGAAAAGTCAAAGTGAATTCTTTACTTTAACCCTCTTAAACTAAGTAATTGCCCAGAAATTCTGTAACCTTTATTTATTTATTTCTATGGTTCATGGTTTAGGCATTTCTTGAGCTCTTGACTTTTGAGTTGGATATGTTCATGCTAATGAGCTAGTTACTTGGTTAGAAATGTGAACAACTTCTCAGCTGCATAATAAATATGTGGAGTGCCTCTGAGAGGGCTTCTGGAAAGAGCTGACTCTTAGACTGAGCCTGGCAGGAAAGGAGTAAGGTGGCCCGGGGAACTCAGAGGCTCTAAGGAGATGAACGAGGACCTGAGTAGCTGAGGGAAGGTATGGAGAGGAAGTGAGCCTGGAGCAGAATCTTGAAACCAAATGGCCTGGAAGAGGTTTGATTAAAGCCCTGGTGACTTAGAAAGCTGAGCCTCTTTGTCCTAGGAGAGAGTGGGTGAGGCCAGAGGCTCCTGCAGCCACTGACTCACTCGCACCCCAGGGCCAAACCACTTTATCGTGGAGCCAATTTCCTCAGCTGCACCTCCCAGATGCTCCGTTCAGACCTCCCAGCTGGGCTGGGCCATGAACTAATTATGGCCTGTGCAGAGCTTTGAAATGCTCAGCTTTCAGCCAGAGATGACCATGCTGATAGCCACTTTGGAGGCTGGGGCACCAGTGACTCAGGAGATGGGGAAGGACTGCACAACCTTCTGTCTTGAAGGAGGCTCTGTCTTGCCTGACTCTGCCATGACAGCCCAGGCCCTCCTGGAAGGGGTGCAGAACTCACCACTGCACTGAGGGGTGGCAAGGCTGGCCACGGCCTGTTCTGGGCAGGGATCCTTTTGTGTCCAGACTGTCCATTCTCATAGGCCTTGCCCCTTACAGGCACTCCAAGGAGAGGGAGTAAGACACACAGGCTGGAGGAGCCCTCGGAGATCCTGGTCCAGCCTCTCATTGCACAGTTTAGATAAACGACAGCCAAAGTTTCATAAACCCTGACCCTTGACTACAGAAGACACCTCCGAGCGCCTTTGTCTTAACTTTCCCTTGAAAATTCTCTTCCCTATTGGAAGGTGAAGAACTAAGGCCTGGAGAGGTGAACAGACCTTTGTGCAATCATCAAGTTGGCAAGTGGCAAAGTGGGGCTTGTAACCTCGCTGTCTCCTTTTCTCTTTTAACTTTTATTGTGGAAAAGTTCAGACCTATATAAAAGTAGAGAGAAAAGCATAATGAACTCCTGTGTATGCATCTCAAGCTTCAACAATTACCCCTTCAAGGCTGGTGTCATTTCATCTCTGACCCTCTCTTTCACACATGATTTGATAAATCTTAGACATTACACATTTGTCATCATTTCACCTGTAAATATTTCCAGGTGTGTCCCTAAAAGACAATGGAGCTCAGGTCTCTTGATTTCTAGTCCAGTGATCTTTTCAGGCTGCCTCTTGGTTGTGTCACTTAGATAAGAACCTTGCCTTAAATTGAATAAATGAACGAGTAAACTAACAAACGAACAAATAGCTGAATGAATGAAAGAAAAGGAATACTCTATCTTTATTCTTTCCAAGAAGAAGTTAGTTGCTGAAGTTCTAAAGTGACTTTCTGGCAGGGGTGCGGTGGCTCACGCCTATGATCCCAGCACTTTGGGAGCCGACATAGGCGGATCACTTGAGATCAGCCTGACCAACATGGTGAAACCCCATCTCTACCAAAAATACAAAACCTAGCCGGGCATGGTGGCATGCATAATACCAGTTACTCAGGAGGCTGAGCCAGGAGAATTGCTTGAACCTGGGAGGCGAAGCTTGCAGTGAGCCAAGATCACACCACTGCACTCCAGCCTGGGTGACAGAGAGAGACTCCGTATCAGAAAATAATAAATAAATAAATAAATACAGTGATCTTTTTGTAAGACCATACACCAAAAAAGAGTTTCAAACCATGGACTCCCAGGCAGACAGATAACAGTGGTAGCCTGTGAATTCTTTCCTACCAGAAGTCCTCTGCAAGCTGGATTTGTGCCCTGCCTTGCCACAGGCAAGCTGTGCTGTCTGTTTCCCATGTCAGGCTGCCACACAGGAATGACGTGTGGATCAAGGACAATCAAACATGGCCTGTTTGGGAAAGCACCTCTAAACTCGTAAACCACTCCATACCCCTAGGGGTTAAGTGTTACAATGATCATCCCCAAGTCACCTAGAAAGACAAAGAAAAGTTCAATCATGGTCCTTGGCTTCCTTCCTCATCTCCCCACCTTGTCCTCTGAATTCTGCATGTCAGTCTCCCTAGGAAAGGCATTAGTGCTGACTCATTTTGGGGGGTGGTTTCTGCCCAGATCAATAGCAATGATGACAACGGTGTGCTTGCTGGGAATTGGAGCGGCACTTACACGGGTGGTCGTGACCCAAGGAACTGGAACGGCAGCGTGGAGATCCTCAAGGACTGGAAAAAATCTGGCTTCAGCCCAGTCCGATATGGCCAGTGCTGGGTCTTTGCTGGGACCCTCAACACAGGTACCTTGGGTGTGGTGTGCCTTCGCTGGGTCAGTGGGTGGCAGTGGGCTATGCCAAGGTACCGTCTCCACCACCTGAGTTCTCATGCCCACCCTGACTTGCAGCGCTGCGGTCTTTGGGGATTCCTTCCCGGGTGATCACCAACTTCAGCTCAGCTCATGACACAGACCGAAATCTCAGTGTGGATGTGTACTACGACCGCATGGGAAACCCCCTGGACAAGGGTAGTGATAGTGTATGGTAAGTATCTCACCCTTTGCCTGAACCTCGAGCACCACATTTGAGTGGCTTCTCGCTCTCACCATCCTCCTGAGACCCAGGTCCAGACAGGAGTTGCAAGGCAAGTAACATGTCATCACAGCGTGTAGAATGGAAATGCTGGCAATGCTGATTACACACTTAGCAGCACCCAAGACACCTCTTCTCGGTGCTCTGCGGTCTGCTAGTCTGGTCTGTCTTGCCGCCGTCAGACGAAGGGTCTGATCCCAGTGAAAGACAGGGCTCCTAAATTCACTCTGAATTTATGGGATCCATTGGACCTTATACTACTTTGGAAGAGAAAAATCCATATGACTTGTAAACTTTCTTTTTTTTCTTTTTTTTTTTTTTTGAGATGGAGTCTTGCTCTGTCACCCAGGTTGGACTACAGTGGCGTGATCTCGGCTCATTGCAACCTCCGCTTCCCGGGTTCATGCCATTCTCCTGCCTCAGTCTCCCAAGTAGCAGGGACTACAGGTGCCCACCACCACGCCTGGCTAATTTTTTTGTATTTTGAGTAGAGACAGGGTTAAACTTTCTTAAAGAGAATAAGAAGAGCAACACATCTTCTCTTAGCATATATATATATCTCGGCTCACTGCAACCTCATGTTCTCAGGTTCAAGTGATTCTCCTGCCTCAGCCTCCCAAGTAGCTGAGATTACAGGCATGCACCACCATGCCCAGCTAATTTTTGTATTTTAGTAGAGACGGGGTTTCACCATGTTGGTCAGGTTGGTCTTGAACTCCTGACCTCAGGCCATACACCCGCCTCAGCTTTCCAAAGTGCTGGGATTACGTGCGTGAGCCACTGCACCCGGCCAAAATGTTGTATATATATTTGGGCATTTATATTCTTAACCATAAATATGCCATGTGCACACTATCAATACACACACACACACACGTAATTTAATGATAGATGCCACAGGAAGTAGATTATATGAAATGTGTAGACTTATATCTGTAACTGCATAGAGCACCAGATAGATAGATGTTATATAGATAAAAATAGATATTGTTACAACTGTTTAAGGTTACATCATATACTAAGTTATTACTGGATGGCAATTGGCAATGATGTTTATATCTGTATATACACATAGATATCTATGTGTCTATATAAAGTACCCATCTATCTATTCTTTTAATCCATTTCAAAGGCTACACACACACATAGTTGCTCACATGCATGTATATGTCTAGATAATCGTATGACAGATGTCATCTTATTTTCAGATGTTCAATTTTAAGGTAGTCTGCATAAAATATTTGTATTACTTATCATTACCAGAATAAATATATCTAACTTATCTGAAATGTGCTTAATGTAACTAAGGGTATAAAATGAAAGGAAAATAGCTAATAATGGAAAACACTGTTAAAACAAATAAATAACAACTCCATGCCAACAACCGAATTGAGTAATAAAAGCATCCTTTCCCTTCTGAAAGAGAGTGAGGCTTATGTAACTCATCCCAGGGTCAATGGATTCCGGGGTTTTACTGGGGGAGAGAAAGCTTATTTAAGGAGTTTCTTTCTTGATCTGCACATATGCAACTTTCTCTCTAATGATATCGCTTACTTGTGGCCAGATTTTGTTTTCCCTGGGCTTTTCTTTGTTCTTGTGTCCAAAATCCCATCACAACCAGCTCTGATCGTTGGGGCTATGCCATTCCTAACTTTAGTTTCTTCTACAAAAGGAGATGGTTGGTCAGACAAGTTGGAGGTCCCCTCAGCATATCCTTTCTGTGATTATCCTGTACACTAGGAACTGCAGGGACATGGAAAGCTTAAGTCTCAGTTCCTCCACTGAAAGCATTTATGGTGCTGTTAGGAGACAAGGGGTGGGGAAGCCACTAGTAGAGGCTAATTAGCAACACAGCATGGTGTGTGATGCCCAGACAAGTGATTAAGACAAGGATACTGGCAACTTGGAGGAAATCCTCAAGGAAGGTGTCCTGGAAGCGGGAAAGTGAGGCTTTTAAGCTAAATTTAGAATTAGAACCCAAGTCTCCTGGTTAGTGATTCACACTGCCCCCCACATCAGCTTAACATCACCTTTGGGACAAGTAGGAGCTGATGGAGACATTCCAGGGTGGCTCCCTGGTAACTTCTGTGGCCTATGGGAGGGGGCCAGATGCAGAAGCTCTGACTGTTCCTGAGGATCTTGTCACTCCTCCCTTCCTCTCCCCTTTTCTGAACCTTCTCAGAAAGCCAAGGGAGCTGATAGTTACTCCCTACACCATTCCCTACAGCTGATGGTTGAGGGAGCCAGCCCTGGAGGGCATGAGGACAGGGAGTCCCAAGCACTAGCTCCAGCCCTACTACCAAATTGCTGTGAGGCTTGTGCAAGGCAATTTATCCTTCTGGTGCCAAGTTTCTTCATATGTGAAATATAAGGGTCAGCCTAGGACTAGATGATTTCTTAAGTCCTTTGCCAGCTTAAACTTTTAAATTCTCTGGAGCTTCAGCCCATTCCACTTTCTATAAGAGAGCTAGCCCTCCCAACCAAGGGGGCCCTACTGTTCCTTCCCTGTTAAATCCCATGCAGGGGAGAGCTAAACCAAGAGCCAGCTTCTGCCTGGAGTGAAATTACTAAGCTGTTATTATAAGGGCAACTGGAGTTTGGACAGAAAACCTCTGATATGAATCTTTGTATGTTACCAAAAAGTCTTGAAAGCTTTGGAACCGTGCCCAGATTTGCCTAAAGTAATAGAATGTGAGAATCAGGGGAGGTTAAGCATAGAAGTGCTTAGTAATAGTAACAGCAGCAAATAATAATTTGTTGAGCAATTGTTGTGTGCCAGGTACTGTTCTAAGTGCTTACATTTCATCTTCACAAATGACGTAGGCATTGTTATTTTCATCCCCAATTTATTTTTTATGGATGAGAAAACAAAGGCCCTGAGAGAAGTAACCTGTCTAAGATTAAACACTTGGAGACATGTAGACACTCTTAAGCGCATAACATTATGTAAGTTCCTTGCCTTTGCTACACCTCAATTTCCCACTTGTAAAACAAAGGGCCAGATCAGGGGACCTCAGTAACATTTTCTAGGCCTTTCTTTTAATCAGATTCACAGCAGCCAGTGGGGTGAATTTTTTTCTAAACCACTTTGCTCATACCAATGGTCTGGCTTAAGAGGCACACAGCTCTGGAGTATTCACTGTCCTCCGAGTCAGGACACTTTTCGGGGGAGCTGAGTTTGGGATGCTTCTTTGAGATGTCCTCCTTCGGGGCCACTGCAAAGGAGGTCTCTGAAGCCTATTCAGCCACTGAGCAGCAGCCGAATGATTTAGAACAGTCTAGTCAAATTATCTTGACTTTTCTGACTTGTTTTCTTCATTCATTTGACATGATCCCCCAATTTCTAGAGTCACAGATCTGACTCTACCTGTAGACTTCGCAGAACTCTGAGGTAGAAGGCACCTAGAGACTGCCCGGCCCTGCCAGGGAGGTGGAGTCAGGCAGTGCCTCCAGCTGTCAGCACCCACACCTCAGCCAAGCCCCGGCTCCTCGTGCAATCTCTCCACGGCCTCTGCCTCTGAATACCTGCTTCCACTAGTCCTGAACTCGCTCCTAGGCCCTTAGTGAGGAAGCGACAGAGAGTGGTTTCAGCCCAGAAACAATTCAATTCAGCAAACGCGATTCCGTGCACACCTGCACTGGACTCTGGGCACCAAGAGGAACAAGATGTGCTGGAGGAGGGTTTTCGTTTATTTGTTTTGTTTTATAACGGGGCCTTAGAGACTGAATAGAGGAGTTTACAGCTGCATTAAAAGCTTGGCAAGTATGGAGTTGCAATGAAATCAATGAATTACTTGCAAGATTCGACACAGCACAGAGGTATGGTTGGCACTCTCTCGGCGTGTCAGGAAAGGCATTTTTGGCAGAGGTAGTATCCGAACAAAATTTGGGAGGACAAATGGGAGTTTACCTACAGAAGGGTGGGGTTTGGGGCCACTTTCTAGGCAAAGTCTCCTAACTCTGTGAATTCAAAGGTAAGCATAGCACAGTTGGTGTCTGTAGAGCAGTGGTTTATAAATGTCAAAGACTGCATCAGAATTAATATGGGTGGGGAAAGATGAAAGCAGCAGAAATCTGCACTTTTTAATAAATGCCTCGGGTAGTTCTGATGCCCACAGCCTGTCCTCTCCTGAGCTCCTGCTCCTGAAACCCTCAGGAAAGGAGTGGAGCCCGAGGTTGAGGGGTGGGAGAGAGTGTGGCGCACAACCAGAAACTCACACAGGAATTTCCACATGGCGCCACTGGGCATCAGAAAGACGCACATCCCAAATATTTCTGTGTAAGTGAAGTGGCTGACTTTTGCCTGAGGGAGGAACCAGGATGTAGTTGTTTTCTGATCTGCCTTAAATTCCTGCCTTGCAAGCAAGTATTAAAATACAGCTACTTACCACTTTTTCTTTTTTTTTAACCAACCTGCCCTTCCCCTCAGTTGCTATGCCAGGAGCAAACTGAGTGTGAAACTTGGTGTCCTCACTCACTTTCTCATCCCTCCCTTGCCCCTTTCACCCACCTAGGACCATTTCCCACACTTCTTCCCTTGCCTTCTCCTTGGTGAGTTCTAACCGACCATGAAGGCCTGTCCAAAAAGACTTCCTGGGTCCTGGAGATCATTTTTATGATGCCCTTTTAAAAATAATTATAGAAAAATTCAAAATACATAAAGAAATAAAAATCATTTATGATCTTATTCACATATCTTCAACACTTGGTAGTTTTCCATTCATCTTTTCTCTATGAGTTATTGTTATTTATAGAACTGGGATGATACATTTTACAAGGCATGAGTAGAAGACAGAGCATATAATAGATACATCCCATTTTTTCCCACACCTCGAAACCAACCACTTCACCTTTAGTTTTAGTCATGTTTTTTTTTCACTAAACATTATATCATGAACATTCCCCCATGTCATTAAAAAATCTTCAAAAATAAGATCATTTCAAATACATCAAAAATGCATCATATTCTGTTATATGGAATGGAACCGATGTAAAATCAAGTTACATAAAATGGAACCTACCATTAACCTGTTTCCCTTTTTTAAGCCCATCTGCCTGGATTGAAATCCCACTCTGCTTAATTACTCACTGTAAGACCTTCTCAGTCACTTAACTTCTCTGAACCTCAGTTTCCAGAGTTGCTGAATGGGGAATAATAATTATTTCTGTCTTTTAGGGTGTTGTAAGTTAATGTATGCAATAACACAGTTAGAACACAACTTTCTGTGTTAACACTGTGTTAGCTATGATTATTCAACTTACATGTATTTTCTAATTATAGAAGTAATGAGTAATTCACATGATAGAAAATAAAAATATTACATTACAGAAATAAGTAACATAAAATTTAGTTTATATGCACTATATACATGATATATACACCAAACTGTTCATGGTGGATATCTAAGAAAATAGAATTATTGGAGACTAACTTTCTCCAATGTTTTATGTATAATTTTTTAACAAATGGATTTATCATACATCTACATATATACATATAGGTGTTTTTTCTTTTTCCTTTTTTATTTCCGTAGATTTTTGGGGAACAGGTGGTATTTGGTTATATAAGTTCTTTAGTGGCGATTTGTGAGATTTTGGTGCACCCATCTCCTGAGCAGTATACACTGAACCCAATTTGTAGTCTTTTATCTCTCACGCCCTTCCCACCTTTTCTCTCTGAGTCCCCAAAGTCCATTGCATCATTCTTATGCCTTTGCATCCTCATAGCTTAGCTTGACTTATGAGTGAGAACATATGATGTTTGGTCACACTGATTTTCTTATTTCATGATATCTCTTAGACATCTCTCCATGTAAGTACTAGATTGATTTTGCTTGTTCTTTTTGACAGCCGTTTGATATCCCATTCCATGTCTCTGCCACCATTTGTCTGCCAGTTCCCTTGTTGATGAACTTTTGCTCCAACACTTTTGCTATTACAAACAATGCCTCGGTGGATACCTTTAGATATACATCTATGTGCACTTACATGAGTTTTTCCATGGTAGAAATTCCTAGATGTGGACCTACTGGCTCAGTGAGTATGTAGATTTTTAAAGGTTTTTATACTCGTTGCCAAATTGCTTTCCACAGAGGTCATAGCAATTTAAACTCCCACCAGTGGGGTATGACAGTGCTTGTTTTCCCACCCGGAATGAGCACCACAATGAGTATCACCCTATGCTTTAATCTCTGTCAGTCTAATAGCTGTCATCTATGTATCTCTGTCGTATTATCTCTTTGTCATTTTAATTTTCTTTTAATAGTACTGAGGTTAAAACTATTCTCATATGTTCAGTGGTTATTTGTATTTCTTGTAAAAATTGCCTGCTCATTGCTATTTATGGGCATGCTTTTCTTTTTCTATTTCTTATTTTTTCATCACTTAGTTCAAGGAAAGTATGCTTTCTCTTATCAATTTGTAAGTACATTACAATATTGATACAGTAAATCCCTTGCATGTATGTTGGATATATTTTCTCTGCTTTATTGATTTTTTTCAATCATTTGTCTCACTGCCTTCAAACTGGATAGTTTCTAGTCATCTATCTTCAAATGTATTGACTCTTTCCTCTGTCATCTCTATCCTGCTAATAAGTTTATTTATCATTTAATTTCAGATATTGGTCTTTTTTCCAGTTAAAAATTTTCCATTTGGTTCTTTTTTCATATTTTCTCTTTCTCAGCCCAAAGTTTATCTCTTTTCATTCGTTATGAGCATATTTTCCTTTATTTCATTGAGCCTAGCTCTAGTAGCTGCTTTAGTCTTTGTCCAACAATTCCAACATCTGGATTATTTTATGGTTGGTCTCTGTGGATTGTCTTTTCCCTTGAGGATAAACCACATTTTCCTGGTTCTTTGCTTGTTGAGTAATTTTGGCTCATACCCCAGATGTTGCATGTGTCTGAATTCTGTTATCTTGTTTTAGCTGCTTATCTTGGGTGACTCAACGTGCAAATTGTTTTCCCTGCAGTAGACAGTGGCTTTGCTCTCAGTTCAGTACTTTTATCTCCGGCTGAATGGCTCGTGGTCTGCCTCATCCATGCATGACTGAGGGTCACCCAGAGGTTTGGGCAGCTTCCTTGACTCTTTCCAGAATTCCCCCCTCATTCTCCAGCAACCCAGGTTGGTCCAGGCTCTGTTCCTGGTTCCTCAGGTCAGAAAGCTGTGGGCTGCCTGTCGAGTTCTTGCTCCATGTACTTTACCCCAACTGTGGCCTTTCCTTGGAGCAAACTCATACAAAGTGCAGCTTCTCCACGTTCTGATTCCTCTCCAAAATCATCATGCTTTGATCATGCTCAGGTGTCTTTTCTAGTTTTTCATTTTTCCCCCACAGTTTCTCATTATATGCAAAAAGATTCATCTGTTTTGAGCTTACCCTTCATACCAAGAACAGAACTACAGGTTTTTTGTTTGTTTACATGTAGTTTCAATATTTTTATGTACTCAAATATATGAGTCTCTTCCTTTATGGCCTCTAAAATGGGTGGTATGCTTAGAACTGTCTTTTCCACCTTATGAGTATAGAAATTTTTTTTGGTGGGCGTGGTGGTTCACACCTGTAATCCCAGCACTTTGGAAGGCCAAGGCAGGCAGATCATGAGGTCAGGAGCTGGAGACCATCCTGGCTAACATGGTGAAATCCCGTCTCTACTAAAATTACAAAAAATTAGCCAGGCGTGGTGGCGGGCACCTGTAGTCCCAGCTACTCGGGAGGCTGAGGCAGGAGAATGGTGGGAACCCAGGAGGTGGAGCTTGCAGTGAGCCGAGATTGTGCCACCATACTCCAGCCTGGGCGACACAGCGAGACTCCGTCTCAACAAAAAGAAAAAAAAAAAAAAGAAAGAAAGAAAGAAATTTTTTTCCAGGTTGACTAGAACTTGGATTTATGTCGAACTTATGTTTTCTTCATGTTGAACTGAAAAGTGCCAAGACCAGTGTGACTGTAGTTTCCATGGGAGTGGAGAGGAGAGAAGAGGGCAGAATTGGGGGACGGAATGAGTAAGACCTTGGCTACCTGGTTGTGCCTGGCGTCGGGTGAGTGGTGACTGAGGCTTACAAATTGAGACACAAGACGAAGAACATTTGAGGCCTGGCAGATGTCATTCTTCAGTTCAGATCCCAGCCAAGAGACGGTGTGGCTCTTAGGTAGGCCAGTCACTCCTGCAGCAACCCCATTCATTTTCGGCCCACACCGAGCACAGAAGCATAACCTGCCAGGCACAGGGAGAAAGCTGTGTGGGTTTGTCCCTGGGTGGCTGGCTCCAATCTGGATTCATTCTGCTCCTTAGAAAGGTGCGTGCTGGTCAAGGCTTTGACTTTTGAGTTAGGCATACATGGGTCCACATTTTGACCCTACCATTGTTAACTGCTTAACTTCTCTGAGCCCAAGTTTCCCTTTTTATAAAACGGGCATAAAAATGGTACCCATTTCACAGTGCTGTGAGGATTTCCACGAGACGATGCTCACCAGGGCTTAGCATAACAGCTGTCACAGGACAAACTCACTCAATGCACGTTGTCGTGCTGCACTGTCGGGGCGAAGATGTGCTGTCTTGCCACTCATCTGCTGTGTGGTCTTGGGCAAGCGCTGCAGTCTCTGGTTCTATCTGCAGGAATTTCCATGTCTGGAATGAAGGCTGGTTTGTGAGGTCTGACCTGGGTCCCTCGTACGGTGGATGGCAGGTGTTGGATGCTACCCCGCAGGAAAGAAGCCAAGGTAACTTCTCTGGGTGTGGTTCTGAGTCGTGAGCCTCACAGTTATTTACAGCCGTGGACAGCAGCATAGGGAAGTAACTCCAAAGCCCTCTCCCTCTGGAATGCATGATGGGATTAAAACAAAAATAGTTTAAAAATAGATCTCCCCTGCTAATTTTGTTTGGCTCGGGCTGCTATTTAAATGAGTGCCTGCCCTGCACCCACAATGGCCACTGTTGCTGCACAGAGCCTTGGCACAGGCCAGGTGAGCAGGGAGAGCAGTCTTCCTCTGCCAGTAATGATTATCCTGCACCAACTGCAGCAGCCTCTCCTTCCCAGCACAGAAAATTTGTGGTTCCCTGTTGCCCTTGGGGTTTACTCCACGTTCTCCACTGGTCACCACCCACAGCAGCTCCCTCTGGCACACGAAGCTCCCCCTTAGGCAGGCCGCCTCTGCCATCCCCATCCCGGGCCTCTGCTTCCTCCTCTGGCCTCCCTCTGTCTCCTGCCCCATCAGGGGTTGGGTCCCAGGTTCTCCGGGAGCCTTTCTTCTTCCCTTCTCTGACCTGTAGAGCATGCCTTGTCTGTTACCCTCATTTTCAATTGTTTTTTGAAACATTAAAAAGTGATATATGGGATTGGGCGTGGTGGCTCACACCTGTAATCTCAGCATTTTGGGAGGCTAAGGAGGGTGGATCACTTGAGATCAGGAGTTCAGGACCAGCCTGACCAACATGGTGAAACCCCGTCTCTACTAAAAATATAAAATTAGCCAGGCGTGATGGCGCATGCCTGTAATCCCAGCTACTTGGGAGGCTGAGGAGGGGGAATCGCTGCAACTCAGGAAACAGAGGTTGCCGTGAGCCGCGATCACACCATGGCACTCCGGCCTGGGAGACAGAGCAAGACTCCATCTCAAAAAAAATTTAAAAAAAGGTGATTTATGAAGTAATACGTGCATGTAGTTGAAAAAACTTCAAACTATTCTAAAAGGACTAACAATGAAAATTAAGTCTTACCCCACCCCCCAACCCCTAGCTCCTCTACCAGAATCAGTGCATGCTACTAGATTTGGGGGCTTGGAGGAAACCGAGATGTCTGCTAGGCCACTATTTTCCGAAAGTGTCATTGTGACCCATTAGTGGTTATAAAATCTAGTTAGTGGGTTGTGGCCATCATTTTAGAAAAGGAAAGTGAAATTGAATGGAATGGAAAGTGGGGAAAAGAACATAAACTATCAAGGCTCATTAGATATGGTTAGACTAAAGACCATTGTCCTGTGAAACTTTTGTTTCTGTATCACATGTGTGCCAAGATGTCAAATGTATTTCTTTCTAGGGGTTGTGGTGAAAAAAGATGAAAGTCACTGACATCTATCTATCTATCTATCTATCTATCTATCTATCTATCTAAGCTTCCTATGCTGAGTGCTAAGAAGAGGGAAGAAATGGTCAGGCTTAGGAACTCAGAGGAACAAGAGGTCCCTGCAGGCTGCGTGTTCAGGGAAGTCTTCTAATAGGAAAGTGATGAGCTTCTAGGTCAGAACGATTTGCAGAGGTAGAAAAGAGGCAGCCACCCTGAGCACGAGACAGCAAGACTTTCCTCTTTAGGAAACAGACCAAGGACAGTGGGTCAGCATGGATTAGGCACCCGGAATGCAGAATTGTGTAGTCTTATGTAGAGGTTGAGTCTGACCAGCAAGAGAATAATAGCCCAGGAGGGTCTCTGCGGAATGCCAAATGAGTGGGACACACACTCAGGGATAAAGGAATTTGGGCAGTGCAGAGGCAGGGCTTTGCAGCAGTCCTGGAAGGCCCTGGGGAATCGGGCACTGGGCAGGCTGTGGCCTTGGCATATATCCAGCTTCTGCATCTTGGCCTCCAGGGGTGTTCCAGTGCGGCCCCGCTTCAGTCATTGGTATTCGAGAGGGTGATGTGAACCTGAACTTCGACATGCCCTTTATCTTCGCGGAGGTGAATGCCGACCGCATCACCTGGCTGTATGATGGCACCACCGGCAGACAGACGAAGAATTCCATGGATACTCGCACCATTGGCAGGTACATCAGCACCAAGGCAGTGGGAAGTAACGCTCGCATGGACGTCACGGACAAGTACAAGTACCCAGAAGGTAGGAGGGACGCTGGTGGGGCAGTGCTGTGAGGGGTTCTATTGTGGGAGGATGGCTCTGAGGGTGGAGAGGAGAAAAGGCCTCACCCTCCCCCGCACTGGCAGCCAGTTCTGCCTGAATGATAGGATTGTTCCCTAGCACCTAACCCCCACCTCCCAGCACTGTTTCCAGAGGGAACAAAACCATCATGGGCAGCTGCTGTGCCAGTGGAAGTTTGCTGCAGGGCACGGGTGGCTGTCAACCCAACCCAGCCCATCCCCAGCTGTGTCCCTGTCTCAACTGCACAGCTAGGGTGACAGCACCATGACTGAGCATCATAAGGAGAGACAAGGCCCCCATGAAAGGCCCCCAAGGGCTTTGGGAGAGATTTCTCCATCAGTCTGCTCCCCTAGCCTCTGAGAAACTCAGGGAGAAAACCATCTGAACAAAGAAATGGACAAAGAAACCCAGAGACTTGGGCTTGCATTGTGCACATTTGGAGGTCTCCGAAGAGGCCAGATGAGGTGTGACTACATGGTATGAATGCCCGGGCTCCTGAAATCTCAGGCATGCATACATTGCTGGTCCCCCTAAAGTCACCTTGGAAGGCCAGTTGCTGTGAGGCTGCCTCGACTCAATTACATTTGCTTCCCAGAGTTGCTTTTGAAACCAGCAGCGCATCTCTTGGAGGATTCTCAATGATGATAAAAGTTCTGCATTTGAAGACGAAGTTCATTTTTAGAAACAGCCGAAAGTAATTTAGTGCTTGCTCTTGCAGGCCACAGTCACTCCTTAATGGGGTCAACATTTCACTCTTTCTAAAATGCTTTGAAACGGTTCATTCCATTGATCCTCACAGTTGGTTCTGAGGGGTCAAGAAAAGCATTCTCATAAATGTGCACACAGTACCCTCTAAAGTAAGCCCTGAATCTCTAAGTGACTGTTGGCTATTGGTGTTGGCCGAGTTTACAAAAAAGGAAAGCTGAGCGCAGGCGATGGGGTCTGACTTCAAGTCCAAGCGGGTCCCCCCCGGGTGCTGGTATTTGTGAACAATTGGAGGCACAATTTTAGGGTTATGAGATTGGTGGCCTCAATTTGGCCCCAGTCTTCCTCTGCAGGTCATTCCCAAGATTGAGCTCAGATAGACCTTCGCTCAGTCAATAAACATGTTCTGAGCCCCTACTGAGTGCTTGCTTCATGCTGGGCCTTGCAGATGCAACAGAGGACGCTGCAGATGGGCTGGGGGTGTGGAGATGTAGGACAAGTATTTTCAACAATGTTATGACGTAGAAACAAGCGTAGGGGGCCAGGGAGTAAAAACTCAGGGGCGGAAGGTGAACTCCAGCCCTACCAGCCATAATTGTGTGGCCTCGAGCAAGTTTCCTCTGATCTCTGAGCTCTGGCTTCCTCACCTGAAGAATGAGAAGAGCAATGCCTGTCTTTAGCAGGATTTAAATGAGCTAAGGTATACAAAGTGCCAAGTGCAGTGCCTGGCATATAGTCAGGACTTGATAAATAGCAGTGGTGCTGTTTATCAATTTGAACCTCTATAGCCTCACTGGAACAATGACTTCCCAAGGTGACTATTTTGCAGGTGCTGCTTACATGACTGTATGATCCTGTGGGGTTCCTTACCTTATCCCCACACCTTGATCTCTGGCTGTCTCAGCCAAACCTCCTAAACAATGGAGAACGGGCAGGTCCATTATGGGGGCAGGGGAGGGGGTCCCTGCAGGACTCCTAGCAATGCCTCAGCCCTTACATGACAGGACAGATCACCCTGCCTGATGTTGCCCAGATCTTCTTACCCAATGATTCTAGCTTCTCTCTGAGGGCCTCAGGGAGGAAAAGCCCATAAAATAGGTTGCTACGTATTGATGCAATAGCAACAGCAAAGGGAGAAAACAACAGGAGGAAGCTTAGCCTTGAGTAAGCCCAGCAGATGACCTATATAGGCTTGGAGGCTCTGAGCCTCATTGTGCAAACACACCTGCTTCAAGGTCCCAGGCACAGAAGGCTCAGATCTGTGCACTGCCTTCGGCTCTGGGTTGGACTTACAACTGGACTAGAGGATGGGAAGGCATCAAAAGGAACCCAGCCCACCAGGAACTGTCAGCGTAGGTAATCTGGCCGCCTGCCTCCTTTTTAGCAGGGTGTGTGGGAGGAAACTTAGACCGGGGGTCCAGACACCAGGGAACTGGCCCCCTCTCTGCCTCTGCAGGTGACTGGTCCAGTCCATCTCAGAGTGGTCTGGACAAGTTGTGTCTCTTCTTAGGGCCTTAACTTGATGGGCATGGATGAGTTGGCCTCTGAAGTCTCTGCAAATCACATGTAATTTATGGGAAGGGGCTTGCTGTATTGTAAAATGCTTACAATAAGTCATCTGGCCGGGGGGCATGGCTCATGCCTGTAATCCCAGCACTTTGAGAGGTCGAGGTGAGCGAATCACCTGAGATCAGGAGTTTGAGACCAGACTGGCCAACATGGTGAAACCCTGTCTCTACCAAAAATGCAAAAATTAGCTGGGCTTGGTGGAGAGTGCCTGTAATCCCAGCTACTTGGGAGGCTGAGGCAGGAGAATCTCTTGAGCCCAGGAGGTGGAAGTTGCAGTGAGTTGAGGTCATGCCACTGCACTATAGCTTGGGTGACAGAGTGAGACCTTGCCACAAAAAAAAAAAAAAAAGAAAAAGGAAGAAAGAAATGAAAAGAGAAAAAAAAGAAAAGGAAGTCATCTGGTGCCTTAAGTATTTCACAGGTTGTTGGGGAAGGTGGGAGGCTGTAAGTATGGTCTGCAGGTGTCAACATGGTCACTCTTCCTTGTGTACCTCTGCCTGTGTTCCTGGAAGGTCAACACCTTCTCCTAGATCTATCTCCAGGTCAAGCTTTTTGTGAACGGCTCAGTCAGCCCTGGCTCAGGGGCTTGTAGTCAGTTACTCAGCTCTGTGTGCCCTGAGAGCCATTTTCAGGTACATCCCTGTCATTCTCTGTGGGCTCCTTATGCTATCACATTCAGCAGCGCCCATAGCCTGAGTCAGAGTCAGAAAACCCATATTTTTATCCAGCCCTTGCAGTTTTGAAAACTGAAATCTCTTGACAATTTCAACTAGTCATAACTCGGAACCATACCGACCATGGGAAGTCCTTGTCAACCAGCACAGATCAAAATGTCACTCCTTGACTCTCAAAGCACCTTTAGAAACAAGGCAGAAGAACATGGTTTACCAAAAAAAATTTTTTAAATGAGGTCAGTTTAAATCATCACCTCGTTTTTTGGCTTATGAATGTATTCTAATCTTTTTCAGCTCAGTTCTTACGATTTATTTTGAAATTATCTGTTTTTTAAGTCTCACAAAAGACATTTTATCAGAAAAAAAAAATGAAATCTAACCTAATTAACACAAGCAAATGATCAAGCCACGTAGTAATTGTGTGCAGGTGCTGATAAAGCTTTTCTACAGATTTTGGGAAATTTAGAGCTGATTGGAAAAGCACCAGAGACCAACTGGTCTGTGAGTCTCCGGTTAAGACAGGTGAGCTGGAGACCTGCGAAAGTCGAATGCCTGCTAGGACAGCAATGGAGCCAGCACCAGTCCTAGGCCACCTGTCCAGGCAGGATACTGTCCTTTGCCCAGGTTGCCACCACATCCCTAGCGTGTTTCTGTCTTTTCCCACCACACAGGCTCTGACCAGGAAAGACGAGTGTTCCAAAAGGCTTTGGGGAAACTTAAACCCAATGCGTCATTTGGCGCAACGTCTTCAATGGGTTTGGAAGCAGAGGAACGGGAGTCCAGCATCGTCGGGAAGTTCAAGGTCACTGGCATGCTAGCAGTGGGCAAAGAAGTCAACCTGGTCCTACTGCTCAAAAACCTGAGCAGCGATACGAAGACAGTGACAGTGAACATGACAGCCTGGACCATCGTCTACAATGGCACACTTGTACATGAAGTGTGGAAGGACTCTGCCACCATGTCCCTGGACCCTGAGGAAGGTAATGCATCCTGCAGTTGGAGGGGATCCACGAATCCGAGGTAGCCAATGGCCTTCTGGGGCTGCAGGGTGTCTGCTGGGCTCCAGGTTAGTTGGCTAAGAATGGAGTAGCGAGCAGCCCCTGTGGTTAATCCATGTCTTATGCTTTGGAAGTTGCTGTCTCTATGAACAGAGTGATGCCAACCAAATGTCAGGGTGATGCCAACCAAAATCCTTTTACGCCCCAAGGGAGGAAGGAGGGAGGCTTTGGCAGTTCATGGCTATGGACAATATCCCTTACAATTATACACCACCTCACACAGTTTGACCTTCTAAAAAAAGGCAGATTTTCAGTATCCATCTTATAGAGGCAGAAAGTGAGGCTGGGCGAGATCTGTGACTTGCTTCAGAGATAAAGTCTCATAGATAGTAGCGGTAGTGCTGGGTCTTGGTCCTGTGTTTCCTGATACTGAGTCCAGAGCCACCCCCTGTTTTCTATGTTGTTTTGCTGTTACCCACCTCACCCCCACCCCCACCCCCACAACAAATCGCTTTTCTAGTTTGACCTCGGGAGGGTGGCAATGACCACAGGGCCCTAAACCTTGGTCCAGGGCTCTCCCACGGCTGCCACGGGGTGAGTGGACCTTCGGGAACCCTGACAACAGTGACAGGTTTTCTTAGAAGTCTGATCATTTGGGAGGATGTGACTCCTTGCCCTTGGGTAGCAGGGATGGGAAGAGAACAAGGTGGAGCAGATAAAGGTTGTGCTGTGGAAGGATTAGAATGCAGGTGTGCCCACATTGGTAAAATCCTTCAAGCTGTTGTGAAAAGTTTGGACTTACAAACCAGATTAGCAGGGTGGGGTGGTTATTTGCTTCACATAAGGAGCTAATAGAAACTGATTAATTATACTGCCCATCTTGAAAGAATTCTGTCTCCAGAGAAACAGAGGTGTCACACCTGTCAGAAGGCAGCATCCCCTAGCAATCCGTCTTCTGGCAGAATTTTAGCAGAAATCTTTTCAATATCAGAAGGAACTGCCTGGCTGTTATTGACCTTAGAAACTCAAAGAAAGGGCTTTTTTAATTTGTTTGTTTGTTTTTGTTTGTTTGTTTTGTTTTTATACAGGGTCTTGCTCTATCTCCCAGGCTGACGTGATCATAGCTCACTGCAGCCTCAAACTCTGGGTTCAAGCAATCCTTCTGCCTCAACCTCCCAAGTAGCTATAGTCCCAAGTAGCTAGGACTATAGGCATGCCATTATGCCCAGCTAACTTTTAAAGCTTTTTGTAGAGATGGGGTCTCCCTATGTTGCCCAGGCTGGTCTCAAACTCCTGGCCTCAAGCAATTTTCCCACCTTGGCTTTCCAAGGTGCTGGGATTACAGACATGAGCCACAATACCTGGCCAAAAGAGCTAATTTTGGAAGTCAAAAAAAAAAAAAATTCACAGGATGGAAATGGTTTAAAAAAATCCTTTTGCAGAATGGAATGGAAAAGAGAGAGAAGGCAGGTATAGTGGTCTTAGAGTCTGGTCATCTGCCAAGTAGTTGCTGGGTGACCCTGGTTAAGTCTCCCTCCTTTTCTGAACCTTGGCAGTCACACTGATGGTGAGGGTTGGACCAGCTGATGCAAGGGCCTGTCCTCTCCACATTTGGGCCAGGGATGGCAAATTCCTCCAGTGCTAAAAGCAGAGGCAACTTCCTCCTCACAGTCTTACCTACAAGAGTGTGTAACACTGTGGGTGCTGGGGCACCTCCAGGTCACCCAGCATAAAAGCTTGAGGGAAGGGAGCACCTAAGCCTGTCAGGGTAAGAAGAGGGCCCCACAGCCCACAGGGTCAGAAGAGAGAACTTAAAGCATGGGGAAGGAGCCAGATGCATGGAGAGAAGCCAGAGGAGGCATTTCCATCTGGGGGAATCATGTGAGTCAAAATATGGGGGCAAAAAGGTGCCTGTTTTGTCTGCGGAACAGGAAGTGTGGAAGGTTCTTTTAAGGGACAGGTGATTCAGGGCCAGGTTGAGGGGTCGGAACTTTATCTAAGGCAATGAGGAGCCACGGAGAAATTTTGAAGTGATATATGACGTGGAAGAACAGTGATTTAGAAAAAAACAAAACAAAACAAAAAACAGCTTTCTAAAGCTTTGTCTGGCTGGTGTGTGGATGACTTAGAAGCAGGAGAGAGCACGAGGAATGAAAGGGATGCTGTGACAGTAGAACCCCAGGTTATTAGATGACGGGGAGGATCCTAAGTGTTTGTTTAGCCAATACCCTGGCTTTCCTTCCTACCTATTATTGTGTTACTGTCATGATTGCTACTGTTGTTGGCAATCAGGTGGCATTTGTACTCTTCCACTGCCCCTCAGAAGGACATTTGTGGCTGGGCGCAGTGCACATGTCTGTAATCCCAACACTTTGGGAGGCCAAGGCAGGAGGATCAGTTGAGCCCAGGAGTTTGAGACCAGCCTGGACAACATAGGAAGACCCCCATCTCTACAAATAATTTAAAAAATAAAAAAAAGGATACTTGCCCTCCAACATTTTGGGTGGGGAGGAAGCAGCAGTATCTTTAGCCCCTCTGAGCCCATCCTCCTGGGAATCTGCCCAGCCAGACGGAGTCCTGGGGCCTCCTTGGCCCCTGCTCTGGAGCCCACTCCAACCAGGGGAGGCTTCCCACAGGACCTGGCCCAAGGAGGGCTCAGTCAAGCCCCGGGCTGCAGCTCCTCCCGCCAGCTCACCCTGCCTTGGCTTGGCGTCAGTTCTGAGGAAGGTTCAGAAGCCATCCCCACTCCTCCTCACTCGGATCCCCGACTTCTCCTTCCAGAGGCAGAGCATCCTGTAAAGATCTCGTACGCTCAGTATGAAAAGTACCTGAAGTCCGACAACATGATCCGGATCACAGCCGTGTGCAAGGTCCCAGATGAACCTGGGGTGGTGGTGGAGCGGGACATCATCCTGGACAACCCCACCTTGACTCTGGAGGTAACGGGCTGGGAAGGGGTTCTGCCCCCAGCCAGCCCAGCTCCCAGGAGCCCCACCGTCCCTGAGAGCCACAGTTCTCCCAGACTGCAAAGGAGAGTTTTTCTTGCTGGGAGGGGCAGAGAACTGGGCCCGGCTTGGGTCCAGCCTCTGCCAAATAGCCAAGAACTCCCACTCAGGCCCGTGTTCCTGCTCCCTGTCTGGTGGGATAAACGCGTGCATTTGCCTGGCTGCTTCTCGGATTCTAGTTCAGAACCACTGGGGGCATCAGCTGAGAGGGGGTCTGGAGGGACTCTTTTCAGTTCATTCCCCTCTCACTCAGCTGCTGAGCATCTGCTGTGTTCTGGGCCACGCCAGGCTTGGGAATCACAGAGAGGCACGGGTGTGGGTCCCGCACACAGCCAGCTGATGTGTCAGGGCCACAGCCCAGCCCCCCTGTCAGAAACAGGCCTGAGCCACAGCATCTCTCCACTGTCTAGACCCTGGAGTTACAGAATCATGGACTCTTAGGAGCCTAGTCACATGCTCCACTCTCACTTCACACGAGTAAACCAAGGCCCAGAGAGAAGGGAACAGCTGGCTACTGCCAGAGTCAAGGCTAGGCCTCAGGCCCTGGGACTCCCAGCCCATGCCCCTCCAAGGTGTGCTGATACATCACCAGCCAGCCACAGCATCTTCAAAGTGGCTGAGAACAAAGACCCCTCTTTCTTTCTCTGCTCTCAGGGCTTCCTTTTGTTTGCAGCATTCACCGCCAAGCTCCTTCTCAGGAGCCCAGGAAGGTGGGGCTTGCAGGTCTGTGGGAGGCCCCTCGTGCCACTCTGTCTCTTCCTCAGCACCGGCAGGAGCACCTGTGCTGGCTCCAAGCCTGTCCCTCACCCTGTAGCCCCTGTGCCTGATCCCCCTAGCCCTAGGTGGAGGGTGCTGGAGCCAGGCAGTATAGGTCTGAAGGGTAAAAGGCTGGACAGGGACAGGCAGACAAACGGACAGAGAACACGAAGGTTTCCCTTGGGGTCCAACCAAGAGCCTCATGTGCCAGGCCCTGCCCTCTCTCATCTGCTGTGCCCACCATCTGCCCCCCCCCGCCCCCCCGCCCCCCCGTCTAGCTAGAAATTGCCGTTCTCTGTACAATCACAGTGCCACAGGTTTCCCAAGCCCCAGAAACCAGGAGGAGCCAGATAATCATGGCTGCCCTGGCCCATCCCTCCTTAAGCTGTAAGCTGGCCACAGGGGTTCCTGACCTCAGAGAGGGCAGGGGGATCTAGGGTGCTGGCTCTGATGCGGGGCCTGGTTCTCCCATACAGTTGGCCTGCAATTGCACCCTTTTACTGTCCTGGTTACTTTGGACTGTGCTTCAGGATGGGGGAGTTCGTCCCCTACATTAGGGGCTAGAGAGCCAGTGACTGGGCAGCCAGTCTGGGGGCTGAGAGGGGCAGTCGTTCAGGCCTTGGGCCATGCAACCAAATGGATCTGGCATTGTATCAAACCCCTCCATTGATCAGTGGTGACACTGAGCAAGTCCCTTAATCTGAGTCTCAGTTGCTCCAACTCTGTCATTGGGACAATCAATTACTTCCTTTGCAGAGTGTCATTTCCTCAGGGAAGACTTTCCTGAGCTCCGAAATTAGGCTTGGTCTCAGTTATACACCCTCAGAACCTTCTGTCCTTTACCTTCAAGGCATTTGTCCCAACTGGAATATTATCTGTCTTTGTGCAATTATTTGGTTGTGAACCCCTCCCCAACCGTAAACTCCACAAGGGCAGGCGTTACCTCTGTTCTGAGTTCATCACTGTCTCCCTTGGCACAATGTCTTAGTGGAGAGCCACTGTTTGTAAAAGAGAAATAGCCCCTTCCTCGGGGCAGGACTGGAACAGAGCCCCTTGGCTCTGGACTTGCATTCTTCCTCGCACAGGCGAGAAGTTTCATTGCCAGTCCAGGCTTGTGCCCTGCGTGTGACAGCCTCTCCTGCTTCACAAGACACTTCTGAGAAACACTCCCTATCTCTCTAGACATGGTGGACAGCAGAGTGCCCATTCTAACTCCTGAGTCCAGAAAATGATACTGGGTGGCTGCCAGTCCAGTTTTGAAAACATTCTGTACTAAAGTGATCAGTGTTTAAAAGAAGTTAGTTTTTGGCCAGGCACGGTGGCTCACTCCTGTAATCCCAGCACTTTGGGAAGCCGAGGCGGGTGGATCATCTGAGATCAGGAATTCGAGACCAGCCTGGCCAACATGGTGAAACACTATCTCTACTAAAACTACAAAAATTAGCCAGGCATGGTGGCAGGCACCGGTAATCCCAGCTAGTTGGGAGGCCAAAGCAGGAGAATTGCTTGAACCTGAGAGGCAGAGGTTGCAGTGAGCTGAGATTGCACCATTGCACTCCAGCCTGGGTGACAGAGAGAGACTCAGACAAAAAAAAAAAAAAAATAGTGTTTTTCCCCAGTATATTCCCCATTATATTCCCTTATCCGATGTCCTCAAACCTTCTTCCAGCGTTATCTTTTATTCAACACTTTTGCTATATATCTTCCAGATTTCCATGGCAAGTCTACTTATCTTTAAAGATACTACAATATCTTTAGAAAGGAAATCAGAATTTATATGGGCTAGAAATGTGCCATCACTAACTCTTTTTAAAAGTTTAATCTTTTTAAATGACTCCTGATCTTCCTTCTTCGAGACACATTCTTTCCTCCACCTAAGCCTTCGGAAAATCAAGACATTCTTGTCTCTATTGAATGATCAGTGCATAGCTCACTCAGAACAGAGCACGGATTTTTAAACTGGAGAAGGTGATTTGTACGAAAAGATAATGATTTGGGTAAAACCCCATTATCTAACCTGGTACTAGCTGGCAATTAGCGTTGAGGACCTTAGACCATGAAACCAGGCCAAAAACAATCTGAACATTGTTTCCAAAGGGTGATGTCCTCCCAATTGCCTCATCATCTGTGACTATCAAACTGAGGTTTTTGGTGGCTTTTATCCTCTCCTCTGGGTACATTTACAGATTTGGGTCAATAGGAGGGAGTGGTAAGCAGCATTAAAAAAAGAAAAAAATGCACGGAAATCTCAAATTAAATATCAACATGAAAAATGTGGCAACATCTGTATAGCTTTGTTATAACCCAATAGCATAAAATTATGCTGCACTCTTCAAATTATGTCATACATTTAAATGAGTTTCATGGAAGAGATGATAATATAGACCATGGTGTCTAAAATGCTTCAATTATTCACAAATTACTGGGAGGTATTGCAGACCTATCAGAAGGAGCAAAGACTTTAGATCCAGCTGGGCTCTGCTGTTTCTAGTGTGTGAATTTTTCAGGTTATTGAATCAGCCTGAACCTCAGCTCTGTCACTGTAAAATGGTTGCTCTGAGGATTAGTGACAAGAAAAACAAAATCCAACAACCACCACCAAAAACACAAAAACCCCCTAGCAACCTTCAGTCATTCTCAAAAGAAGAAGAAATCCCATAGCCATACAATTTCCATTTCCATTTCCAAAATGCTTTCTTCCCCATCCTTGATCTCATTTGGCCCCTTCTGGGAGGGCAGAAATGATTGTCCTTCTTTATCAGATGAGGAAGTTGAGGCCCAAAGAGATGACTTGTCTGCTCAGAATGAATTATGGCTGTTTCTTAGCAGAAACACAACAGCTTTCATCTTTTGGTCTGAATAAACAGTCCAAATTGCTTTTCTGACCCCAAACCCAGCCTTCACCTGTTCTGATCCCTGAGCAAGGACAGTGTGGTACTAGAGCTCCGCTCACACTATAAATAGTGCACAGGGAACCTCTGGGCTCTAGAAGTTTAGAAGGACATTGGTAGACTGGAGCGTCAGCAGAGAAGAGTAGCCTGGGTTGAGCTGGGGGAACCCAAGCCCTGGAAAAGAGTTTAAGGAGCCACAGTGTGAGCCGGGGTATGAGCAGCTGCAGGGCCTGGGGCTGCCCTTTTCAACACCTGTGGGGCCTCCCAGGGAGGGAGGTTCAAGCTTTAAGGGAAGAAACAGGACCCATAAGCAGGAAAGCCAAGGAAAGTAATATTAAATCCAGCATGTGGCTGGGCACAGTGACTCACATCTGTAATCCCAGTGCTTTGGGAGGCCAAGGCAGCAGGATCACTTGAGGCGAGGAGTTTGAGGCCAGCCTGGGCAACATAGCAAGACCCTGTCCCTGAAAAAAATAAATTCAGCATGAAAAATGTCCTGACCCTCACAGAGCCCACAGTGGAGTTGGGCTGTCCTGGGAAGCAGGGGCTGAACTGGAGTCAGGACAGGGAAGTCACAGTGCTATTGGCTGCTGCAGAGGGCCCCTTCCTCCTCAAAGCTGAGGTTCTCATCCACAGCATGGGATAATGTCCTAGGACCACCCTGTGTACTGGGGGGCAGGGGGCATCAGACAGAATATGCCTGGCACCTAGGAGGGCTAAATGGTCTCCCCTTCCTTCATCCTCAGTGACATCACCCCCTTTACTCAGTCACCCTGCCCAGCCCTCACCAAGGTGCAGGCAGGGGCTGAGCAGCTGGAGTCCTGACTCGGCAGTCCCTCTCCTCTGTAGGTGCTGGATGAGGCTCGTGTGCGGAAGCCTGTGAACGTGCAGATGCTCTTCTCCAATCCACTGGATGAGCCAGTGAGGGACTGTGTGCTGATGGTGGAGGGAAGCGGCCTGCTGTTGGGTAACCTGAAGATCGAGTGAGTCCTGGGCCTGAGTGGCTGGTGCGGGAGGGTGGGAGGGGGCGGGGGGGGCCCTCCAGATCCTCTGGGTGGGACAAACAGAGCTCCCTCTGACCTTAGTTTCTTTACTCTTTTGGGGGCCTTGGAACTCTAGAATCTGCATTTGCATTTGGTTTGGGGGTTCACCAAACTTGAACTCTTGAGAAGTCCAGGTCATCAGAGCTAAGAGCTGGTCTTCAGGGCTTAGAATATTTGGGAGATCATGGGAGCCCCCTCCCGCTTCCTCTGCTGAAGTGTCCCGGGGCTGGAGGGGCCCCGTAACCCGGAGGACAGCTAGAGGGAGCAAAAGAAGCAGTGGCCTTGCCCAGCCTCCATCAGAACAGGACAGGAGGTTGCAGAAGGCCCGTCCAGCCCAAGGTCTGTGTGTCTCATATCAACACTGATCCATGCACTCCCCATCAGTGTGCCAACCCTGCGTCCCAAGGAGCGGTCCCGGGTCCGTTTTGAGATCCTGCCCACCCGGAGTGGCACCAAGCAACTGCTCGCCGACTTCTCCTGCAACAAGTTCCATGCAATCAAGGCCATGCTGTCCATCGACGTAGTCGAATGAAGGGCGCTGGTGGCCTCCTGTACAAACTTGGATAACACGGAGCAGGGAGAGCTCACCATGGAATGAACTCCCTGCCCATGCTGTCCAGCCTGGGAAACCCTCTCATCTCCCAAGGCTGCCAGACATGGACCTCCAGGCTCCAGCACATCCCCTTCCCCTCTCCCCCAGGTTGGGGCTAGGTCCACCCTGTCCCATGACTTGATTACTTTTGCACATTCCCTGGCCACTTCTCCCCAGGGCTGCCTGCTCTGTGGGCCCCACAGCCCTGCTCATCCCTCACGCCCTTCAATGCTGCAGGATGGACTGGCCCCTGACCTAGGGACTCTCCAAATGGGACACAGGAGAAAAGCTGGTCTAGATTGTTTGCTGATCCCCAACCTGCACGGGGCATTCCTGCTCCTCTCTCAGGCCACCACAGAGGGCAGGGGATGGTTAGCCAGCTGCCCCAGCACCCACACCCTAACTCAAAATAAATGTTAAATAAGTGCGATCACACAGCAGCGACTCTACCTGACTGCTATTGCACCAGAGGTGGTGAAGGAGAGAAGAGGCTGTGGCCGTGACCTTCTGGAGCAGGGAATAAACTTGAGGAAGCCACGTTCTCTGTGTTTCAATGTCCAAAGGGAGTGGGCTTGATCTACAAGGCTGTAGGTGCAAAAATAGGGAAACATTTCAATCCAGTTTAGGAAAACTTTCTAACATTATGTCCAAAAATAGATGAGGCTGCCTTGGTAGGTAGCCCCTGGTCACAGAACGCTTCAAACATTCTCTGTGTGGCTGGACAAACTTTTCAGGCCTTTCTACATGCATCAGAGTGAGAGGGGACTTCACGGTTTTTGCTGGAACCCTCTGGCAGAGCTGGTTCCGGGGGTGGCCTAGACTCTGCTCACACGGGGCTCCACACTCCTCTTGCAGCCAGGAGCAAACGCGTGCTTCTGCCAGCCACAGCGCTGTTAACTCAACCTGAACCTTCTCTGCCTTTATACACACTCTGATGGTTCCTCAGCCTTTGTCCCTTAAAATAACCTCAAGCAGATCCCATTAGCTTTTCTGTCGCTTGTGCTGACTAACACCATTTTGACAACTCTGCCTCATTTTCTGAACTCAGGAGACCAGCAGAATCTAAATAGAAACCTCAACCTCACATCCAGCTCAAAGCTTCTCCCCTGGGAGCAGCGCAGGCCTTACTCACGCCTGCAGAGGAGGCACTGTCCATCTCTCACCTTCCTTCCCTTCCTTCCTCGACCTGGGAAGTTGCTTGATCCCTCAGAGTTGGAACAGAGAGAGAAGAAGAGAAGTGACAGTCGTCTGTTTCACTGGTGCTGATGTAATGCCGCCAGTGATGGTCTCTGTGTCGCCAGTGTTTAAATGCAGCCTTTCTGTACTGCTTATTGCCTGAGCCAGGAGTTCAAGGCTGCAGTGAACTATGGTTGTGTCATTGTACTTCAGCTTGAATGACACAGTGAGACCCCATCTCTTTAAAAAAAAAAAAAAAAAAAGCAGTCAGTAAATTAGGGATTTGGGGTTGAATCACTCACCATCCAGCTGCCATGAACCCATCCTCATCCCATATTATCCCAGGCAATATGGATTGGGTACATCTGGGTGGATACCCTCAAACATTTTGACTTCCAAACTCCTCTGGACCTTCAGAGCCCATAGACAGGCCTGGCCTCCTTCCTATTAAGATCCAGTAACTTCTCTCCCCACCTCCTGCGCCATATGGGAAGACACTGAAGAAATCTCTCCCCTGCAGCAGGAGCCCTCCTCAGGATCTATTTCTGCCTCTTCTCTTGGCCTCCAGGCTGATAAGTCCCGTTAAGTTGCAGCATAACTCAGTTGGGGATGTGCCATATCCGATAAAGAAATAAAGGGTCTGTAGTCTAAAGGATCCGAAAAACCAGCCATCATGTGACAGCAGGATCATGGGAGAACTCTGGCAGTGGATTTGAGGGTGCTTAATCAAGGAAGCTGTAACACTAGCCTAAACAATGAAAAAGTTATTGACTTGGGGCCATTCTTTTGTGATACGAGATTTAACACCCAGGTGAGGATACCAAGAGCTGGTGCAAACTGGCTTAGTGGCTCCAAACATCTGGAAGAAGTGATGACTTATGCTAAGTACAGTTGAAGGGGCTGATTTGCTACGGTGCATGATAGAGGAAAGAATTAAAAGGCTCAGGGAAATGGGCATGCTGGGGTTGATATATTATGAGGGGCCAGGAGACATCTTCCAAAGGATTATTTCCCTCAGAGGGTCCAGAGGACCCACCCACCATTCACTGAGGCCATCAGAAATGAGTAGTGACAGGGGCATCAACATCACTAAGAAATTCAGTGGTGGTATCCTCTACATTTAAAGCAAAAATAATAGCAACATTGTAGAAGTAAAATGTATGAAAATAATAACACAATAGCCAGGAAGGAAAAAAATACACTGATGTAAATTTCTTATATAATACATGAAGTAATAAAATATTAATTGAAGACAGACTGTGAAAAGTTAAAAATCTATATTATAAACCTAAAGAAACCAGTAAAAGAAAAGAAGGCCAGCACGGTGTCTCACACCTGTAATCCCAGCACTTTGGGAGGCCAAGATGGGTAGATCACTTGAGGCCAAGAGTTCAAGACCAGCCTGCCCAATATGGTGAGACCCCATTTCTACTAAAAAAAAAAAAAAAAAAAAATCAGTCAGGTGTGGTGGCACGTGCCTGTAGTCCCAGCTACTCGGGAGGCTGAGGCAGGAGAATCACTTGAACTTGAGAGGCAGAAGTTGCGGTGAGCCAAGATGGTGCCACTGCACTTCAGCCTGGTTGACAGAGTGAGACCCTGTTTCAAAAAAGAAAGAGAAAGAAAAGAAAAGAAAACAGTCTGGGAATGGTGGCTTATGTCTATAATCCCAGCACTTCAGGAGCCTGAAACAGGCGGATGACATGAGGTCAGGAGTTCGAGACCAGCCTGGCCAACATGGCAAAACCCTGTCTCTACTAAAAATACAAGAATTAGCTGGGTGTGGTGGTGCATGCCTGTAATCCCAGGTACTTGGGAGGCTGAGGCAGGAAAATCTCTTGAATCTGGAAGGTGGAGGCTGTAGTGAACTGAGATAGCACCACTGCACTCCAGCCTAGACAACAGAGTGAGACTCCATCTAAAAAAAAAAAAAAAAGAAAGAAAACAACAAGAAAAAACAAGAAAACCCAGTTATCAGTAATAAACCAACAACGTAAACACAATGTAATAGTAAAGAATACTCAATTAATAGAAAAAGAAGGCAGAAAAGGAGAAAATGGAACAAAGAATAGTTGAGACAGATTTTAAAAATAAGTAGCAATATGGTAGATTAAACCCAATCATACTAATAATCACATTAAATGTAAATTGCCCAAACACCCAATTAAAAGGCAACTATTATCAGATTGGATAAAAAAGCAAGACCCAACTATATACTGCTACAAAAAATCAAATTTGAGTACAAAGTTGAAATTGGTTAAATATAAAAGAATACAAGTTATATACCACACAAATGGTAACCATAACAAAGCTGGAGTGGCTATCGAAATATTTAACAAAATAGCCAAAGATTGTTACTAAAGAAAAAGAATATTTTTGAATGATAAAAGAATCAGTCCATCAAGAATAAAAATTATAAATAGTGTCAATGTTCTCTGAAGGCAAAGAAATTAAATTAGATGACAAAGAAATTAAATTAGATGACAATAACATAAATATATCTGGAAAGTCTCCAAACATTTGGAAACTAAAGAAAAGACTGCTGAATAACCTATGGGTCAAAGGAGAAATTTTTAAAGAGAATTACAAAGTATTTTAAACTAAAAACACAGCATATAAAAATGCATAGGATGCAGCAGAGGAAAGTTTATAGCACTAAAATGTCTATATTAGAAACAAAGAAAAAAAAAATCAATGAACTCACCTTCCACCTTAGGCAGCTAAAAAGAGAAGAAATTAAACCAGGCCGGGTGCGGTGGCTCACGCCTATAATCCCAGCACTTTGGGAGGCCAAGGCCAGCAGATTACCTGAGGTCAGGAGTTCGAGACCAGCCTGACCAACATGGAGAAACCCCATCTCTACTAAAAATACAAAATTATTTGTATTTTTACAAATACAAATTTGGCATGGTGGCGGGCGCCTGTAATCCCAGCTACTCAGGAGGTTGAGACAGGAGAATCGTTTGAACCCGGGAGGCGGAGGTTGTGGTAAGCCAAGATTGTGCCATTGCACTCCAGCCTGGGCAACAAGAACAAAACTCCATCAAAAAGAAAGAAAGAAAGAGAGAAAAAGAGAGAAAGAGAGAAAGAGAAAGAGAGAGAGAGAGAGGGAAGGGAAGGGAAGGGAAGGGAGACCTAAAATCTAAAATAAATGGAAAAGGAAATACCAAACAGCATAAATCAATAAAACAGAAAATAGAAAAACAAAATAGTAATTCAGTGTAACTAAAAGTGGGTTCTTTGGAAACATGAATAACATTGATAAGTCTCTAGCCAGACTGATCAGCAAAATATAAAAAAGACACAAATTACTAATATCAGGAATAAGAGAACCAATAGCTATTTGAAGAATAATTTAGAAGTATTATGGACAAACTTATGCTAAAAAGATTGACAACTTAGCTGGGTGTGGTGGCTCATGCCTATAATCTTGGGAGGCCAAGGCTGGAGAATCACTTCAGCTCAGGAGTTTGAGACCAGCCTAGGCAACATGGCAAGACCTTGTCTGTACCAAAAGTAATAATAATAATAATAGCAGGCACAGTGGCACACACCTGTAGTCCCAGCTATTCGGAAGGCTGAGGTGAGAGGATGGTTTGAGCCCAGGAGGCAGAAGTTGCAGTGAGCCGAGATCGAGCCATTGCACTCTAACCTGGGTAACAGAGCCAGACCAGTCTCAAAAAAAAAAAGTTTGACAACTTAGATAAAATGAACAAATTCCTTGAAAGACACAAACAATCAAAACTCATTGAGGAAGAAATAGATATCCAGAGTATCCCCATATCTGTTTTAAAATTTGAGTTTGGAGTGTAGTTCAGTAGAAAACTCCCCAGCTGAGCCTAACACAAATTCCTGGCCACAGCACTAGTTGTTGTTTTGTCACCACATTTTCACGTGGTTTGTTATGCAGCATAGGATATTATTTATTATTGTATTGTATTATATTAATTAGCTCCATGAAAATATTTATTCACTCTCCAGCACTCAGTTCAAATATTTCCTCTTCTGCAAAACTTTCCCCATCTTCCTCCCACATCGCTGCATCCAAGCACACTAGGTCTCTTTTTTTCTCTCTATGCCTTCCCTTCATTGTCTTTTTGAACCACTTTGGCGCATGTCTTTCTAGACCACTTTGGCTTAAGGTCATCTGGCCTACATCTCTCCTCCCCTGTCCTAGACTATGTGCTTGTCATGGGCAAAAACCATGTCTTGTTTAGCCCTACATTCTCCTCACTTAGCCTAGTGCCTGGTGTAGATAAGTACCTATAAGAATTCATAAAAGAGCCAAAAAATAAATGAAATTGGGAATGAATGAATGAATGAAATGACTGATTGAATTTTAATATCTAACATTCATTGAGAGT